CACTTAAAGTAAAATGGTAGTATGCCATTTAAATTATTTGATCATTACATCCAATTGCAGAGTTAAAAGCATTTAAAAAGAAATACTGTATTTTTTGTATGTCACCAAAATCTGCTGTCTTCGCAGCTTGGTTTATGCAAACCAGGGACTTTCATCACACACTGACTTGCGCCATTTATACCAGTGAAACTATTTACACCAATAAACTTTTGCAGAACATGAATTGGAGAGCGAAGAATTCAGGTTTCCAGTTGTAAGACTAAACCAGAACATTTCAAAGTACAAATCTTAAATTTGAAGCCCAAAAGGTAATTTTTAAGAAATGCTGTCAAATAGTTTTCTAGCTGATTATCTGAGAAATGAGTATATTTTTGAAGCCTACATATATAATAAACATTATAACAACACGGTAACTTGTGATTTCTAGTGCTTTTTAAAGATTAAATCTAATTTATGCATTTTGAGTCTGCAAACCTATATAGGGCCCAACTGCGAAATATCATTACACGTGAAATTGTATTATGAAACATAAAATTCACATTTCAGAATGATGATACAGTAACAAAGACTTCGCAAGAACTGTTTGGAAACAGTGGCACTGTGGCCAATGTGATATAAAGATATGATAGGCGAAGGTAATATGGAGTGTTCATACCCTTTTTTGTGATAAGAAAATGGACAAACTTTCAAGCAACCATTCAGTACAGCACTATACTATACATATTTTTCTATGCTTTTACTTAGTCGTTATTTAACTAGCTATGATGCCATCATCACCAGAGTCATAGACACCTACCTAATTTTTACCAGCATGTGGGTTTAGTCACCATATACACACTTAAATAATAGTGTGCATCTTTGCAGGACGAGGATCATTTCTGAAGTACAAATGACTTCTAAATTGTAGTTTAAATATTAGAGATGACAAAGAGAAAAATTTATAATAGTGGAGGAACCAGACCAATATATTTTAAAACTTAATTAAAAATTGGGTAAAACAGAAGTTTTTAGAACTGTCTGAGATTGCGCTGGTTTTTTCTTGCGAAGACACAGCTCTGTGTCCTAATGGAACATTAACAAGAAATGGTTTTGTCCCAATCTGTAAGCGATGCGCCTGCTTTTTTAATGTCACTTGGATTGGCAGAGCTTAAACTTTCTATTAAAAAAAGCACGCGGTTTGAAAACAACAAAGCTAATCAAGGTCACTAGGTGAGCTATTTACAAAAAAATGTTCTGATATCTGCCTATACTGTGGCACAGCCCTTTGCCTGATGTTAACTATATTTCCAGAAATAACCACCTTACAGTGGTGACAAAAATCAAGCTATTGGTGCATGTGTTTTAGAAATAACTCATAGGCTGTGTATAGCTTATACTTTACGTTGTTTTCATACTTGAAGCTATCACTTTAATTCTTTTTTTCCTGTTGACTTTTTATGACAGTGATTTGTTTTAGGCTTTAGTTAAACTGGGGAAGAAAACTCAAGGAAAAGTTATGCAAACACATCTTAGGAAAAGCAAATTGAAACTAAGTGCTGCATTTTAAAGACCTACCAATCACATGCACTAAAAATATTTCGGTCTTTGACTTGAGCATCCATTGCAGCAGCCATGGCTGAGCCACGGGGAGATTTGACAGGACCCTGCTCATAGGGGGAATGTGAGCAGTCACAGTAATTTGATAATCCACATTAAAACCCAGTTTTGCATAAAACTCCTGTGAGCAACTCAGCATAAAGAGACTGTATTAATTCTTAGAGATGGTTGCGTTGCATTGGGCTAAAGAACACC